CTTCCCACTTCACAGGGGACAGTGCCGGGACGCCTGGGCTTCGAGCCCTCCGAAGCACAGGCCTCCCGAAAAATCAGGGGAGCGATACTTCGATTGAAAAGCGGTTGTGAAGCCATTCGAGGATTTGGGCAGAAGGTCCTCTAGGGCACTAGGTTGCGACGCGCGAGCGGAGCTGGGCTGGGCGCGACGGGGAAGGAGGGACCCGGCACCAGCCGTAGCGTCTGCAGGACCCTGGCGGGAGTCGGCTTTGGAGAGGGTGGGGGAGAGGGGCCTGCTCCCTTGGGAGGGGAGAAAGCAGGCAACAGCTAACGCGGTGCACAGTATGAGGGGTGAAGACCCGGGACCTGCGCTAGTGGCATCCGGGAGGTGGGCGGGGGTCGCCTTGAAGACTGACTAGGCCGGGACCAGGGCAGCAGGGAAGTGTGAGGGAAAGACCCCTGCCTTTGGCAGCTTCCAATTCGTTTCTGTCAAAGATGGCCAAATTCCACACTGCCCTGCCCCCCTCCGCGCCTCCACTGGTCCCCTTGGGTTGCTCCCCAGCGCTGCAGCAGACGGTGGGGAGGTCCGGGCGAGCGGGGTCGCGGGGAGGAAGGCGCGGGGAAAGAAGAGACCCTCCCTGGCCGCATCTCCCACCCCACCGGCCCTTGGGGAGGTGCTTTCAGTTGAGAAACGGGGCTCTGCCGCTTTAAGGTGGGGAGTAGGCGTCACCTCTGGCCGGGTGACGAACCGGGGCGGGGACGCCGTGGGCGTGCCCATGCAAAGCAGGAGGTGGTGCTGACGGTGGGCGGCCCCATAGTAAAATGTTCGGGGGAGGGACGGGGTCGAGGAGGCGAGGCTACCTGGTGGGCGGGGCACTGGGGGCGGTGTCTCTCCGGGAAGGCCCGGGAGGGGGAGGAGGAAGCGGCCGGGTTGGTACCATTGCGCGCGCTCCGGGAGGGGGACAAGTGACATTCCCTCGGAGGGGGGCGGGCCCTTCCCGGCGGCGGGCCCAGCGCCGAGGCGGGGAGGGGCAGTCCCCATTCCCCCGCCGGGCGGGACGCCGGGGCCGGGGGAGGGGGCACTTCTCCGCTCGCGTCCGAGGCGGGGCCGGCGGTACCTTTCGTGGCGCGGTGCGGCTGGGGGAGGGCCGAGGGGAGGGGGAAGGGGCGGGCCCGGGAGGGGGGAGCCGGAAAGGGGGAGGCGCCGGCGGACAATGGAGCCTATGTGTGCCTGCGGGAGTGGGACGGCGACGCCGCCGCCGCTGCCGCCGCCGGGGGGAGACGCTGCGCCGCCGCTGCCGCTGGCCCCGGCCCCGGCCCCCCGGGGCTGAGAGCCGCCCCGGACCGAAGCCTCCTCCCCTGCTCCGCTCCTCCTCTCCCCTCCCCCACTCCCGCCTCGGGGGTAAGTGGCACCTCGGGGGGAGGGGGAGGGGAAGGGCCGGAGGCGGGGGGAGGCGGCGGGGGGGCCGGGTCCGCGTCCGCGTGTTTTGAGTCGGTTTGGGGGCAGGGGTAGCCACAGCCGCGGTTAGCCGTGGGGGTTGGGGGGGAGGGGAGAAAAGGGGCGGGGGTCGAGGTTGCGGATTTAGTGAGTTGAGTCTGGAGAGACCTGTGGGGGAGGAGGGGGGACGTCCTTTGCCCACCGCTCACTGAGCAGTGGGGAAGAGACCGCGGCATCTCTCGATTTTTTAGAGGTTGTGTCCCAAGCAGTGCTTGGAGAGGCTAAATGAGGAGATGGGACGGTCCCAAGGTCCTGGGATGGAGGGGCCAGGGAAGGGAGAGATGGAGAGCTAAATAAGGGAATCCGGGTTGAGTTTGGTGGGGTCTGTGAGCCCCCGGAGATGGATACAGAGGTAAAGGGGACTTTGCAGGCCAGTGACTTGTTGAAGGGTGAGGGGAAGTGAAAGCTAAGAAGCATGTATGAGTAGGAAAGAGCTCCCGTAGGTGAGGTGGTGATGTCGAGGTCACTGAGTCATTGTGGGGGTCGTGGACACAACAGTGATTTCCAAAGTGGGGCCCTAGTCACTGACCTTTGAAAGTTGCAGAGACTGTTGAAGATGTCACTGGTTAGTGTTGGGTGAGCCTGGTGTAATGGAGATACCCTACGGAAAACAACAGCCGGGTTGGTTATAATGTTCGGAGGGAAGGGCCAGAGGCCTGTAATATTGTTGCTGGGGGCCTTACCTGAAGGCTCCGAAGCCTGAAGCAGGAGGCCTCATATCTGTCCTCCAAGGGTCCTGGTCTGTGATCGAGAGGAAGGACTTAGAGCCTCAATTGTAGTCCAGCTGGGGATGAATCAAGTTACTAGACAAGATAGAGACATGGACATAAGTACCTCTTGGTGGAGAGAGACACTAAGGTGGAATGGAACTGGTGCAGAGTTAGGCTTTGGTTACGGCAACTGTGGATTGATCCCTGGCAGAGACTTTAGTGGTAAAGAGGTTTGGTGGCTGTGTAAAGAGATATATTTTGATCAGCAACGTGTGGTGGATAAGTAGCATTTGAAATATTCAAGAATTAGGTGTTCATTCTTAGACCAGAGATTTGGACTCGTGCACAGAGCACGAAATGATGAATCCGAAGTAGCAGGTAGGAAGGATGGGTAGTGAAATAGTTGAACGAGGGGGTCTGGGAGGGGCAAAAAGGAGGTTGGTGGGTAACAGCCATGCGTGAGTTAAGCACCTTTGACTCTTCATGGAGATTCTGCAACATGATTGCCCTGATAATTTTTTTTTTTTTTTTTGTCTTGGTACTAGTGGTTTGGGAAATCTTAGCAAGGAATTAATGTTACTGTGAATAATAAATAATGTTTTGGTCCTAAGTTAAGATGTAAGAAGGACATCCTTACTCACTATTGAAAAAAGACCCAAGCTATTGAAGACAGAGATGAGTTAATGAAAGGGCAAGTTAGATGATGTAGGGATACTTTGAAGAATGAGGTTTCCAATAATAGGTGGTTTGAATAAAAAGAGAAAATCTAAGGCCAAGTTGGGGCAGGGGTGACGTTTCATAGTTTGAGGACCAAGGATCTGTAATTGAACCATTATGATACTGTCTTGTAGTAACAGTGTTGAATGTAAGATGATAATAGTTCCATGAGATATGGTAGGTGGGTAAGGAGGTCATTGACTAAAAGGTGAAGGAACAGTTACACACTGTTCTCTTATTAGAAGGCAAGTCGTATGTAACTTCGCTTTTGAGCTCAGGATCTGTGACCTCGGTCTTTAGATGACTAACATAGGTGAAAAAGTACTTAATGTACATTGGAATTTGTTCTATGGGATATTTGCCCCATAGCCCTCCGAAGGGTCTGCTGCTGTGAATCAAAAGAAAATGCTCTCCGGCTTGTCGGGGGGAAAACGTACCGAGGTTTCACAAGCATAATAATCAGCTAAATATTTGATCTTGGTGTCTTGGCATAGTGGTTTGAGCCGTGAACTTGGAATCAGGAACCTGGCTTCCCATTGACTTCTGTGACTTTGAACCAGTTTCTCATATTGATTCTCCAGTTTTCCCGTTGATGAAGAGGTGATACCCTTGCCCTGACCACTCATGCCACAGTGGCAGTGCCTAACAAGTGAATACCTATCTGCAAAATGCCTTGAACACTTCTAAGAATGAGAGATGATGTAGCCCAACCTTTTTCTCACTTCTGAAAGACTGCTCTCTCCGGAACAGACCGCATTCAGCTCTTTTAACAATCATGGCAGCTTAGTTGATCAGGGAATGAAAAGGAGTACTTTATACATCTCTCTTGTTCTATCATCGGGGTTTTGGTTTTCTACCAATTTTGAAAGGTGATAGCTCTTCTCCATTTACCAGGAAGTTAGTCATAGTGATGACAGTCGGAGAATGTAAGGAAAGGTCCCCATGGAGGGTAGGAATGTACATGGTGTGAATGCTCACCTAGGCTGATGCCCGCCCCAAAACTTGTGTGATCTTGGACATGTTACTTGGCTTTGTGGTGGCTTAGTTTTCTTCAACTATGAAATAACGTTGGTGGAATGACGTAGTTGTCCTTCTGCCTTGGTGACTGTGCTGTTAGAATCTGTAGAGACTTGATTTGTCCCAGAACAACTTCATTTGTACCTCACCTCCTATGTCCCACATACCCCTCTCGCAAGCTCATGAAGTATAGGACCTCTTTTGAGAACTGTTTTTACAGTGCATAAAATGAAACACACACGGACTTACAAATGACATGGAAACAGTTATCAAAATGTTAAACAAATATGATACAATAACGTATATGCTTCTTCCTAACATATTAAATAACAAATAGCAAAATGTTAGCCGTGGTCTAACCCTACTGTAATTTCAAAATAGCGATGAGTGGGAATATTGTGTTGAAATATGTGCAACAAGTATAATGTGACATGAAAATGTCCTGTGGTTTGTCTTGGCGACAGTCACGGGGTTGCTAATACTACCACTGGTTGTTACCCACCTTCACAGTTGAAGGCAGTGCTGACTTTTACTGAAGGGATGAGTGAGTGCGAAGGAAGATGGACATTTTCCCCAGTAAGCCCACAGCTGCCACCAAGTCTCTCCACAGACTCCCTGTGAGCCAGTGGGTCCCTCTAGACCAGCTGATTTTTCAAAATTAAATAATCTCACGGCCGCTCGCAGTTCGGGCTTTGCAGTATTTTTTCGGCATCTCTGTCGTGCCGAACACAAGGGTGTAAAGAAAGAAATGAAGTAAAAGTTCGTTTTGCAGCCTGTTGGTGACTGGTCTTGGTTGTGGAGAAAAGAAAAAACAAAGATTGGCCACGAGGCTTGGTGTCTGGTGGGTTTTGCTTTGCTAAACATCCCCGTCTTCAACGGGACGGATTTGGGCTGCGCTGCTCCATCTCTTTGCTTTTTGAGTTTTAGTGGTTTGCCTCCCTTCTCCATTTTCGACCTAATTATTTTCTTACTCCTCCCTCCAAATACCGTGTTGGCCACAGAGCGTTGGGGAATGGGTGGTTTTCTTTGCAGTTGGTTTGCATTGGGGTATGAACTTCTCCATTCTTCTCGTCCCTGTAGGACTGAATGTGGGACTAGCCGGTGTCACCTCACTTTGACCTAAAAATCCCCTTCTGTTTGGGAGGCAGAGATTATTCTTGGAAAGTTCTTCCGTGTCCCAATGTAGAAGAGAGAGCAGATCGGACATCTCGAAAGGTAAAGAACCTAATGATGAACATAGAACTTCTGCGATCCAATCAGAGTACTATGGAGTCTTGTTTACTTTTCTGTAGGGTCTCTTTTATTCCACTGCTTCGTTATGGTAGCAGTTCCCAAGGCACAGGTCATCGAGTCGAATGCAAGTCAAAACTGTAAGGGTAGTCACCTTCTACTTTTCTGTGAGCAGGGAGGGACTCCTGTAATCGCTCACCGCATAGAAAAGGCAGCCGGAAAGAAATTAAACAGGTGGTTAGCATGTCTTCATTGGTTTGTGTACATGCAAGCCAAAGGTAGCAACACTCAAGCCCCAAGCTCATTATAGTCCTTGGGTCACCCAGTATTTATTGAGTTTCTCTTGGGCGTTGGGTGCTGAGATGGTGACCCTTAGGGGCCTCTGTATCTCCGCACTAACAGGGATACAGTTTATAAGTTATAATGGTGTTGTGACTTCGATGGTGAAGGGCCACAGAGGAAATGCCTGCGGGGGTAGTTGGGAATCAAGGAGAATTTCACAAAGAAGGGCCATCTGTGCTGCAATTTTACCGTGGGGGGCCATCGCTCCGAATGATAGTCGAAGTTCACTTTTGAATGTTTACCTTTTGTCAAGAGTCGTTAGTTTGGTAGAAATGTTCATTTGCTTGCCCGAGGCTTGTTAGCTGGAAGGAGAGGAGAGGCATTTTGACCCTTCGAGTATGGAAACACACGTTAGTATTTTGTGTGGGCCGAGATTTTCTGTACGTGCCTGTTGTGTAGTTGTCTCTCCCCCACATGTCGGGGAGGAGAGTGGTTCTTCCGTTTGTGTACTTCTTCTGAGAGGAAGTCTGTTAGGAGTGGCAGGCCAGAAGTCAAGAAAGAGCTAGGAATGGAATCCTGCGGCCTTTTAGTTCCACGTTCTGAGTTTGATACTCTGCCTTCTTTGGAGCAGTAGTCATAGAGTAGAAATGAAATTTGTTAAACACGACATAGTTGTAATACACTTGACTTCTTAGAGGAGGAACGTGGGGAAGGCTCATTGGAGGAATTGGAATGGGAACGGTAGACGTGGTTCCGAGCTTGGTCACATTAACCTGTGAATTTCTTTGCGACTTTGTGACCACCTTCGAGAGGCTCCTTTTAAAGATCCCGAAGTCGCTTCGCCTTGGGACAGCCTGGAACTTGGTTCCTCCTTGCAATGTCAGAACTGTAAAATCTGGGCGGGGGTGGGGTGCTCAGGGCTCTAATTCTATTTCACACGGACGAATGTCGGAAATTGTCCTGCTTGACCAGTACCTTGTTTTACGGGCTTACCTAGCTCGGGTCAGTGTAGCGCTGTGCACACAGTAGGCACTCAGTCAGAGGAAATCGTCTGGCCACGTTGTTCGGCTTCCGGTTCTCCTGAAGTATATGGAACGTCCTTGCCCAGCACCTGCGATGGAGAACCCGGTTGCCAGCAGGGAGGACCGTGGCCGTGTCACTCTGTGGCTTTGGCCGCACGTCTCCAGTTGTGTCTCTCGCGCCTTCCCAGCCAGCTCTCAGCGCCCCCTAATAACGAGCAGTGAGCAGAAGCAAAAATGGGAGCAGTGTTTTTCTCCTACCAAATGCCCCGAAGTTTACAAAGGAGAAACAATGCGTTTATTTGCTCTTAGCTTCTCACCAGTCGCTGAAAAGAAAACGTACAAAGTCCCAAGGCCAAGGGCCCTGAGATGTCTGCACATTGGATAGTACACTCCTTAAAATAATTGGAAGTTGAGTCCCTTTTACCTGGGAGATGACAGCGGCCACTCAGTCCAGTATTCTAGAATAAACAGGAAATCTTTTCTTCTCGTAAGGTATTCAGTGACAACGTGATATAGGTGATTTAAAAAAGTAAATTCTGTTTAGGGGCACCTGGGTGGCTCGGTTGGTTAAGTGTCCGACTTTGGCTCAGGTCATGATCTCACGGTTTGTGAGTTCCAGCCCCACATCAGGCTCTGTGCTGACAGCTGGGAGCCTGGAGCCTGTTTCGGATTCTGTGTCCCCCTCTCTCTCTGCCTGTCCCCCACTTGTGCTCTGTCTCTCAAACATCAATAAAGGTAAAAATAATTTTTGTAATCCATTTAGAAATGTTTCTTCTTTATCCTCATCCAGGTGAGGATCACCTTTGAGAAAGGGGTTCCCAGACTCCGCCAGCTCCTCACCTCCAGGATGAGCACTGCGGTATCGTGACCCTTGGGGTTTTGGTGAGTAGCCTGATGGATGGTGGCACTGGAGAACCTGGCTGGCTTAGAAAGATGATCTTGGGGAGAAGCTTCAGCTTTTATTCAGCAGATGTGTTTTGAGCAGGCGCCACATGCCGGCTGCTATAGTAAGTTCTGGGAACACGGAGGTGAACAAATCACTCTTGGTCCCCGGCTTCCTTTTCTGAAGGAGCAGTCCTGAAGCCGAGATTTCGGGCATGCGGTGAAAATATTCCTACTCCATACAGAGGGCCGTAGTAAGGGAGAGATGTGGCAAGAATGACTGCCGTGTTTCTGACGTGAGCAGCTGGGTGGATGAAGGTGCCGTTGACCGCAGTGTGGAAGACTGAGGGGCAGGTCCTTTGGGGAGGGGTGAGGGATTCCTCTCCCATCTAGGGAGATGGCAAGGTGGCGGTTGCTGGTGTAGGTCTGCAGAGCGTCAGCCGAGCTGAAGATGGGGAACTGGGAGGCGTTGGCATGGAGAGAGCTTCCAGAATGGGAAGAGAAGAGTGCTGCGGAACTCCGAGTTGTAGAGCTGAGTAGAGAAGGGGCAGGCACAGGGCGCAGGTGAAGAGGGACTGGAGAGGCAGGAGGAAAACCAGGGGGGTGTGGCGGCGTGGAGACCGAGAGCGGAGAGTTTCTGGAAGCAAGTGATCAGCCTGCAGGCTAACAGATGGGGTGAGATGAGGTCAGGGAAGCGGCCAGTGGAGACCTGAACCAGAACAGTGGCGTCTGTGATTGGGGTACGGCTGGGGGTGGAAGTCACTTTCAAATGGTTAAAGGGTGAATGGCAGGCAAGGGAGGAAGCGAAGACCACGTGTCTTGTCACCTCTGGAGAAACTTGGCTCCGAAAGGGGCTAAGGACATGCTAGAGCCAGGCTTTGTTTTCCTGTGATTTTTTGCATCTCTTTTCAACACTGGAAGACGTCCCATGTGTCTGAGTGGTGTCCGAAAGGACGCAGGAGACAGCGGGGAAGGCCCAGGGAGAGAGCGAGAGCTAGCGGAAAGCTGGAAGGGATGGGGCCCAGACCACTTGTGGTGAGACTGACCTTTGAGGAAAAGCGAGCTAATTTCTCTGTTTCAATAACAGAAGAAGGAAGGGACGGGGACTGGGAAAACAGGCTTGCAGACTTGGTGGTGAGGACGTCACATTCCTGGTGACGACTTTGCTCCTTGTTAGGTCCTGGGCAAGGACCATGCCCTGAGAGAGGGGAGGGCGGGGTGGAAGGGGGCAGTTGGATTTGAACAAGGTATAAAATGATGTTGGACAGGGTGAGCGAGTGAGCTGGCTAGAGAATGGTGGTGGTCATAGTAGCAGTTAACTCAAATGCTGATGCCGTGTCGCCAGGCGCTCTCTTCTGGGCGCTGCCTCACCTTGTCTACCGCGTCCCCAACTTAACAGTGAGGACGCCCACAGCCATGGGGCCTGGCTGAATGCCAGCTCTCACACTCACTAGGGTACCACTAACTCGCGGATGACTAACTCAGGTATGACCCAACTTGCTCCAGCAAGTGGCTAACCGTTTCAGAGCCTCGGTTTCCTCACCTCTCAGACAGGTGAGGGGAACCTGCCCCCTGGTGCTGTTGGTCGGTGACTCCACACCTATAGGCCTTGCTCAAAAGAGTGCCTGACACCTGGTTAGGGAAAACTCGAAATCGGAGCTCAGAAGAAAAGGGGGAAACATTGAACGAGTAGACCTTCAAGTTGGGAGATGTGGTTATATCGGAGGAAGTCTGTGTGTGGCCGGAATGAAGCATCTTCAGTGGACGACCTTTCCAGTCCTTCAGGGAAACAGCTGAGCACCATCTGCAAGTGTGGGTGCCTCGCTGCGGTCTTTGGAACTGTATGATGACACACCTGGCGAGTCCTTGTGCCCGACGAAGGCTAGGGTGACTGACTTTAAGCTCCCCTCGTGAGCGGTTGAAAACCGGGGATTTTGTTTCCCGTCACTCAGTGAGTCCACACGCTGACCTCAGCCCTCTGTGCTGTCTCTCCAACCCGTAAGGTCGTGGTGAGGAGCGGGGGAGACCCGACTGCAGACCTGGGAAGAAGCCAGGTGCACCCTCCACGTGTGCACTCTCCATTCACCTGTGAAATGCCTGTCGATCAAGGCTGAGCAACTTGCGAGAAGAAGAAACTGTTCTTTAGGAGTACTCTGAAGATTGGGGCGCCCAGGGGGCTCAGTCAGTTAAGCATCTGACTTCGGCTCAGGTCATGATCTCATGGTTCATGGGTTCGAGCCCCACATTGGGCTCTGTGCTGACAGGACAGAGCCTGGAGCCTGTTTCAGATTCTGTGTCTCCCTCTCTCTCTGACTCTCCCCTGCTCATGCTGTCTCTCTCTCTCTCAGAAATAAATAAAACATTAAAAAAAATAATAATAAAAGAAAAGAAAAAAAAGAAAGAAAGGAGTACTCTGAAGATAAATGTGTTGTATGCTGACAGTATCATTATGAGAAATCATCTTTGCTCCCACTTCATCCGAAATGCTTGCCAGTTTGGGGCGCCTGGGTGGCTCAGTCAGTTAAGCTTCCGACTTCAGCTCAGGTCATGATCTCACAGTTTGTGGGTTCGAGCCCTGCATCAGGCTCTGTACTGACAGCTCAGAGCCTGGAGCCTGCTTCCGATTCTGTGTCTCCCTCTCTCTCTGCTCCTCCCCCACTTGCACTCTGTCTCTCTCTTTCAAAAATAAATAAACATTAAAACAATTTTTTTATAAAGATATGCCTAGCAGATTGAGGCGATTTGATATTTGTAATGTGTTTTGAGTCCCTCCAGAAAAAGAGTGCACCACAAATGCCAGGTGTGCCTGTTCTGGAAGGAGCAGAGTAAGTCACTCAGGGTCCAACCACATCTCAGTATGTCATGCTGAGGATTCTAGGCAAGACGAAGAACCTCTTAAAACGAGATTCTCATCTTAAAGGAACATAGGCTTCATAGGGAGAGAAAACATACACACAGGACTGTTGTGTATGACACGTGATGTAGTGCTAGAACATGTGATGCCGACAGAAAGTACCAGAAGTTACACACGGGGACGATCGAGGCGGTAACTACTTTGCTGTCCCTGAGGTAAATGCTTTCTGATGGCTTTGCCTGTGCAAGCCTCAGTTGCTACTTGTATCTTACCGGGGACTCCTGATGTTTAGGGAGAGGTTACAAAATGGTTTATGATCACTCACACAAGTCAGACTTGACAACCACAATCTATTATATAATTCAGACTGAAAAAATAAAAGCTGAAGGTGATGGGGGCTAAAAGTACAACCTTCGATACAATGAAGACCAAAACGTTTTTTGGGATGTTCCCCCTTGCCCCCGAGGTCGGCATAGAAACATTCTCTAACATTTTATTCTCGTTCTCTTTCCTGACTAATTCATTTATTTTATTTTAAAAAATTTTCTTTTAACATTTAACATTTATTTATTTTTGAGACACAGAGATGGTCATGAGCAGGGGAGGGGCAGAGAGAGAGAGGGAGACACAGAATCCAAAGCAGGCTCCAGGCTCCGAGCCATCAGCACAGAGCCCAACACAGGGCTCGAACCCACGAACTGTGAGATCATGACCTGAGCCAAAATCAGACGTTTAACCGACTGAGCCACCCAGGTGCCCCTGACTTCTTCATTTAAAAAGAAAAAAAAAAATTAATTGTGTGTGCTGAGAACTTTCATAAGTTCCTTTTATACATCTCAGGTAAAATAGCTGGAACTGTTGCACATTTCCCCAGGAAGAAACAGACATTTAACACTTGACGGTGATCCAACTCCGCGCCAGGACCTGTAACAGAACTCCCAATCTTTTGTCCAGTTCTGGAGTCTGACAGAGTGTGTGTAAACGGCAGCACCTGAGCTACTTCTGACTCCACGTGATTCTTCAGCCACCAGGCCTGCATCTTACATCCTTCGGTCTCTGACCCAGGCCCCTTGGGCAAGCTGTCAGAAGGTTGGGAGGGAGTAGAGGGGACAGCACTACCAGAAAACCATGCTGGAGCTTTCAGTGGCTCAAAGTGTTATCTTGGTTCTTTGAACTGGTCTAGGCTTCCTGAAGTAAAGGGCTTTCTCATTTGCTCTCTGGCTAGGCTTGGGAATATTTTCTTGACCTTTATGCTTCAAATTAGCCTTGCAAATTGGCTCAGAAACCACCTTAGCTTTCAAAGATGTTCTTTTACCTTCACCATTATGGATCATTCCCATGCTTAGCCATGCCTACGGTCCCTGTCATTAAACAGCAAGAACTCAGCACACATCCTTGGCATAATTTAATAGAAAGAGCGTGGAAGTCAGGGGGCAGAACTGATTGTATTTGGTACTGTCTCAGCAGCCGATTTCGGAAGGACCTCCTCCAGTGTCTCCCTACCCCGAGGCCCTGAGAATATAAACATAGCTTAATTTGTTTCATGGATTGAAATCCGGATTGGTTTGCTACATTTCAGTGCCACCGTTTGCCGTCAGAGGCGAAACAGCGGATAGTTGCTTTGGACTTGGAGGACCCTGTGGTTTCAAAGCATTGTTTTGAAAAAAGAAGAGAAGCCCACATTTCTGATGGGTTTGCATCTGGAAGTAGAGAAACGTAAGGGAGCCTGTATGGCTGAAGATGAAATGTCTTTCTCGTGTGCTTGGCAGAAAGTCCTGTCACCATTTAGCTGCCTTCGCGCCAGAGCCTGAACGCTGCCCCTCCTTCAACCCTGTTGGAAGCCAAGGAGTGGTGTAGCCGCCGCGTCTAGTTGGCTAGACTTTAACCTTGATCCTGTCGCGAGGGTGTTTTATGTCTTTCTGCGTGGCCTTTTCCCGTAGTGCGCCCTGGAGATGCGAGATTTTCCTTGGGGAGCACGAGGCACACACCCAGAGAATGCTGGAGCCGCAAGGGGACAGGACCCACTTCCAGAGCCGAGAAAAACCAAGAGAAAAAAGGCGTACAGGCTGCCAGCGCTAAGGGCCGCCGCCACTGCCCTCCGCAGCTCTTCCGGCTGCCGCCCGAGAGGAACTCGGTGAGCCCGTCCCTGTCTGTGGCCGCACACTCAGGATTTCAATCAATGCATTCCAGTAACCCTAAAGTGAGGAACTCCCCGTCAGGAAACACACAGAGGTAAGGGTCAGGGCCTGCCCGGCTGCCCCTTGGGGGTGTCCCGTGTGGACCACGAGCCCCTCTCGCGGGAACAGGGTGCTGAACTGGCAGCAGAGGGGGCTCGAGTGGGGAAAGGAAGAGGAGGCAGATGAGTAGAGAGTGGAAGAGAAATGAACAGGCTGCAGCAGGGTCGGACTTGCTGCTAGAGATTTCCTCTGGTGTCCTCTTGCCCGTCATTCTTGGGCTGCGCCTCTCTACACCCCTTCCCCGCTCACCAGAGTGCAGGGGAGAGGACCTGAGAGTCCACCAAGCACGATGCACTAACCTTGGCGAGTGAGGAAACCGAGGGCCGGAACGGCGAGGAGGCCTGGGGTCCTGGGGCTAAAACACCAGCCCCCGGTGTGAAGCCTTCTCCTCTGTTCCACAGTACTTCAATTGACACTTTTCTTTAATTTCTTCATTTTGAGAGAGAGAGAGCAAGTGAGCACAAGCAGGGGAGAGGCAAAGGGAGAGAGAGAGAGAGTGGATCCAAGAGAGAATCCCAAGCAGCCTCCGCACTATCTGCACAGAGCCCGATGCAGGGCGCGACCCACAAACAGCGAGATCACTGAGCCAAACCGACAGTCAGACACTCCACTGACTGAGCCCCTCAGGGGCCCCTTAAGTGGATATTTGAAGTTTTCTCCTCCTCCCTCGGGGCCCTGGTTAGTGCGTGTGCTCGGTGTGCGATGCTGCTTGTTTGAGGGTTTCCTCTTGCGCTGCCCGGGTCCTGCTTGGCTTTTCCAGCAGGAAGCTAAGCGAGGCTCTTGTTACAGCTGGCGGTGTCATCAGCCAGGGGGTGGGCCGGATTTTGATCTTAACGATGCCTGTTTGTTGACTCTGCTCTGGTCTTAGTGTGAGAGTCACTTCTCTGTGTACATAGAAACCATTGTCCTTTATTGACAGAAGCCCTAGAGATGGGTCCCCATGTGATCCTGGGGTGCTCGGGACCGGGCAGGCCACTCTGTCAATAGCTCCGAGATTGGGGGGCGGGGGTCGGAGGGAGCGAGGAAGGAGCTGAGGTGAAAGGTGGGGTAGTCGCTTAGTCCTCTGTGGTCTCCTTGACCCACTTCTAGAAACTGCTTCTCCCCAATTTGGGCTGCCCAGCTGTATCCAGCATCTGATCTCTCTTTATTATTTGTCTCTTTTAGTAGCCCTAAGTCAAAGCAGGAGGTGATGGTCCGTCCCCCTACAGCGATGTCCCCATCTGGAAACCCCCAGCTGGATTCCAAATTCTCCAATCAGGGTAAACAGGGGGGCTCAGCCAGCCAATCCCAGCCATCCCCCTGTGACTCCAAGAGTGGGGGCCATACCCCTAAAGCACCCCCTGGCCCAGGTGGGAGCATGGGGCTGAAGAATGGGGCTGGAAATGGTGCCAAGGGCAAGGGGAAAAGGGAGCGAAGTATTTCCGCCGACTCCTTTGATCAGAGAGATCCCGGGACTCCAAACGATGCCTCTGACGTTAAAGGTATGTCTATAAGGTCTTTGAGACTCAGAGGGAAGTAGGTGTCCCTGAGGGAAAGCCTCCGCCGTGGGTGGAGAGCCCAGTAGCGGCCAAGTGGGGAGAGTAGGTATCGGACTCCAGAGTTGTCACAGCTCATTAAGAGGGAACTGTTTCCTCTCATTTTCCTACTAACTTAAGAACCGTCTGGAACCACTTTGTTGAGGAGTCCTTGCCCTGCAGGATGCAAGTGTTTTGGGGGGCTGTGGTGGGATGCCCGTGGTCCTGACCACGTTCTTACAGATATTTCTGGCTGCCACGCTATTTATACTCCAGCATCAAGCTGGCAGCTCCAGCCTGTTGATGCCAGTGGCCCGCACTCGAGCCGTCTCTTCCCCTCCTTTGTCAGATTCACCCTCTATGACTTGAGTTCTGTGCCCTCTGGCCCCCACCTCCCCTCGAGGGGGCAAGCCCTGGCACTGGTGCGGGGTGGTCTCGGCTGATTTCCATGTTGCAGGATGAAGTCACTGCGTGGGGGAGAAATAGGGGAGGCCCCACGATGGAGCAAGCCAGGAGGAACAGGGGACCAGTGGCTGTGGCTTCAGTTGTTTTTCCTCCTAGTGTGAACCCCCAAATCCTAACTGTAGGCCAGAGCATGAAGCCAGCATTCCAGGAGAGGACGTGCGAGCCCCCTGCCCAAATTAGAGATGAAAACCTGGTGATTGTCCCCCTGACCCTCCACCCTGTCTTTCAGCCTTTCCCCGGGTGTTTATGGGGAGGCCTTCGTGAGTGCCCACGCTGTGTTGGGTGCTGGGGGGACCACGGTCAGCAAGACAGATGCAGGCGCTGTCCCCAAGGACTTGAGCACACCCAGGTGGCATGTCGTTAAACAGTCACAGTAAAATTGGATAAATGCCGAAATCAGAGAAGCGGGGGGCTATGGGTTCAACCCACAGGGGCATCCAGTCCAAGAGGTTCCAGAAAGGTTTCCAGGAAGGAGGGGTGTTTGCGTGAATGTCCGAAGGATGCACGCTAGAGAAGTAAGGAGGTGGGGGAACGGTGCTTTGTAATTCGTCATTTCGGGAGAAGCGCATTGGAATTTTTAAAAGAAGAGGTCTCTTCTTAGCAAGGTACTTCCCCCTTGACATTCTCAAGGTGGGCTTGTGCTGTGTACATGCTGGCACAAATTCTGTTCTTTCCATGACATGGGTCTTCTCGTTCTTTTAGAATGTAATTCTGCCGACCACATAAAGTCCCAGGATTCCCAGCACACGCCACACTCGATGACCCCGTCAAATGCTACGGCCCCCAGGTCTTCCACCCCCTCCCATGGCCAGACTACTGCCCCAGAGCCCACACCTGCTCAGAAGACTCCCGCCAAAGTGGTGTATGTGTTTTCTACTGAGATGGCCAATAAGTAAGTCAGTGGCCGCGTCTCCCTTACTGTTGCTGTGGCTTGTGTGTTTGGACACCTAAGTGCTTGTCCCCACTGAGGATCATTCCTTTTTGTTCCCCCCACTCGTGTTATGGTCACTTAAAGTTAACAGTACAGAAAGGGGTCAAGTAAAATAAAATACTAACCCTCCCTGCCCTTTCTCGCCAGAGGCAGCCACTAATAGTGCTTTGGCTTTCTTTCCAGACATTTTTTATGCTTAGAATATATGTCTAGGTCTTTTTTAAACATAAAAGAGATGAATTACACAATACACACATTTTCCTGTGATTTAGCATTCTTTTTTAAATAACACAAGTCTGTCTTAGAGTAATTGGAAAATATAAGTAACTACAAAGAAGAATATGTCTGGAGTTCATAGAGATAACTACGGCGAGCGTTTTAGGGCCTGGGTCTCTGGTGGATGGACCAGCAGATTTTGTACTAATTTAATTTATAAAAAATTTGAATATACCTTACATACAAACAAAGTGCATTTAGACAGCCTTAGAGTTTCACTGGGTGTTGTGAGAGTTCATAATCATGGTTGGGATTTTGAACTAGGATCCCATAAAAACACACCTACCACAGGACACTGGTTTGAAGGAGGAAATCTTGGGTTTTTTAAATGCCTCTTTTGAGATTTGCTGATGGCTGTCATTAGATTTCGGAAGTCTGGTGGTAAGCGATAGACACAAATAAGAAAAACCTGGGTTTCTCAGTCCTTATTTGACATTTCTGGCGGCCCTCTACTCAGAACCTCCCTCCCGCCCCTCGTATGAGTGCCATCCGGGGGTTTAAGTGTTTTGGAATTACGGGCGGTGAAACAGAAGCACGTGCTAGCATGTGCGTCTCTCTCGTCTTGCAGAGCTGCCGAAGCTGTGTTGAAGGGCCAGGTTGAAACTATCGTCACTTTCCACATCCAGAACATCTCTAACAGCAAGACAGAGCGAAGCACAGCCCCTTTGGTAGGCCATTCTGGAAGTGGAGTGTGGCTTAAAGGGTCTACAGCTGCTGTACAGGTGGGAGACGGTGAACGTCATTGGCAGGGAGGTAGCGTCGATGGCGTCTGTTCCTGGCGTTGTGTGGCTTCGGGTGATTACACTGTCCTGGCCTTTTCTGGCAGCCTGCTGGTCTCCTGACGGGTTACCGGGAGAGGAGGACACAGCGTAAAAACGGAGTTATGCAGAGATCGTAGATTTCCTCCATGTTAACCATCTCTGGGAAAAGCTGAATTCAGACCCTGTGTACAGGGCAGGTCAGGGTTCTTAAAAACTGACAGACGTTCTGGACTTAGCTACAGGACAGAAAAAAAAGAACTAAGCCACAATCCTGAAGCACACGCTGATAATACCATGATTAGAGTCTCAGTGATGTTCAGAATGGTCCTTATGTATTTCAGAGTGACAGGTCCATTGAGTACTTTTAATCGCCTGCTATTTCCAAAATTCTAATGAACCGTAGTTGGTTTCCTGTCTGGAACATAAGTGCCTGCCGCAAAGAACACTCAGTGAATTGCCTCAGTACAGCATTCTGAAAGGAACCAAAAGTTATTTCTTGGGACCGGTGTCACCGAGGCATCACACTGAGTGCCGTGGGGACACTAAGCGGTTCGAGATACAGTCCCTGCTTCCAGGAAGCCCAAGAGCTAGTGTTGGGTTGGGCCTTTGACATGGGAACAGTTCAGTGACATTAAATGACTCAAGGGACAATTCAAGATAAACAGATGACATTTCTGTCGATGGCGTTTCTCACCGAAGCCCCTCTCCACTGACATAGCAGAGCTTGGCCTTTGCTAGACGTAGAAAAGGCATTTTGCATTCCTCGTACATCTCTGCCAGTCAAGGGTAGAGGGGATGTGCATAATATGTAAAAGGTATATATATTAATTTATACTTAAAACTTTTATACACATATATATAACACTTAAGGTTTATATTATCTTAGAATGCACAGGGCATGTAGCGGTGCAAACTAATATTTGATCGATTGGATGACAGACTGTACCACAGTTTTCACCTCCACCTTCTCTGGTACTGAAACGAGTCGGAAAAGGAGTTGGAACTGGGCATGATCAGACAGCTCCCAGTCTAAAATCAAAAGGCGTGGCACTGAAGTGCTTCCTCTGTCCCAGCCACGTGACCCAGAGTCCGTACCCCCCCATCCAACCCCCCGCAAACACACAAAACCTGGCCACCAAAGCCAAGCTTAAAATGGCACCGGAAGGAAGGTGAAGGTGACCTCCGCACTCCAGTGAGGGTGGCGGGGCCGCGGAGGACACCTAGAGTGCACAGAGCCGGGCGGGGTGAGCTGGACTTCCCCCCACTGGTGTCTGTGCAGACATGTGTGCGTGCCTACCTGCGAGCGAGACATTGGCAGACAGAGTCCCAGAATGCGGGGACTCGACGGCAGTCTGTGTGCTTATGCAACACAAACTGTTCCGTGCAGAGACACACATGACGAGTTGCACATGGGAAACCGTTCTGAGAGTCAGTGGGGAGGTAAGGAAGAGCCTTAGGGGCTTTGAAAATGCAGACCGGATTAAGTGAACAAGTGGGAACAAATGAACATCAGAAAAGGGGTCACGCGGCTCCCTGGAGCCCCCAAAGGTCCCTGAGATGGGGTCTGTAGGCAAGGCCCTTCGGTTCTCCTTCAGTACCTCCCACAGTGCCATGGTGTAGACCCGCAGCACACACGCCCCTCTTCCAGGCACTAGCGGCATCCAAGTCACCTGCTGCAGGTGAGTGTGCTTTCACCCAGGACTTAATGTAGCGTTGGTACTTAATCAATAATAATGAGGCTGTCATCCAGCCTATAAAAAGGGCGGTCCGCTGTCTATTGGATAGAACAGATGAAGAGACACCCCGAGCTAGCTAGCCTCAGATGTCTCCACAGACCGCTTCCTGCCTACGGATTATCTTACTGCAGTTAATGTACAAATTCTTATCGAATATGGAATCAGTGATCACAAACTGAAAACCGAAACCAGAGCTGTCAGGCCCCCTGGGAACTCCAGAAGAGGAGACTTAGGTAGTCACCGTGCCAGGGGAGACACCGACACAGAGCGGCCTTCCCTGTGTCCTCTGGCGGGGCGAGCACAGAGCTGAAAGTGACAGGCACTTTTTCTTGTAGTTGAAACCATTAGGCTTCTCGATTGACAGCGAGAAGTCTGCATACCCCGTCGTTCTTTCGGGGAAAAGCAAAAGGTGTTAGGTACAGCCTCCCACACACCAAGAAACTAATCTCTCTTTGAATCAGAAACACACAGTACATGTGATATCAAACCTGTTCCTCGAAATAGATACTCAAATGTATTCGCTTTGGCAGAGGAGCTCTGCCCCTGGCATGCTCATAAAGTTATTGAAACCCAGCCTTCAGCAACGGAACAGAGGATGCCATTTGACAGTAAATTGAAAGAAAAAAAATCCAAACGGCTCTGCGTCCAGAGCGGGCTTGTTTGTGCGTGGGTCCCGCTGCGGGCATCAGGGTCAACTGGTGTGACTGGGACAGCCTTTCCATCCAACTTACCAATGATTTTTACGCTCTTGTTTGTCCTCAGAACACACAGATCTCTGCCCTTCGGAACGACCCAAAGCCCCTCCCGCCACAGCCCCCAGCTCCGGCCAGCCAGGACCAGAATCCTTCCCAGAACGCCAGGCTGCAGCCGACCCCGCCCGTTCCGGCACCAGCACCCAAGCCTGCGGCGCCCCCGCGTCCCCTGGACCGGGACAGTCCCGGTGTGGACAACAAACTGGTCCCTTCCGTGGGCAGCCCTGCCGGCTCCACACCTCTGCCCCCGGACGGCACTGGGCCGAACTCGACACCCAACAACCGAGCGGTGACCCCTGTCTCCCAGGGGAGCAATAGCTCTTCAGCAGACCCCAAAGCCCCTCCGCCCCCAGCAGCGCCCAGCGGAGAGCCCCCCGCATTGGGAGAGAACCCCGATGGGCTGTCCCAGGAGCAGCTGGAGCACCGGGAGCGCTCCTTACAGACGCTCCGTGACATCCAACGTATGCTCTTCCCCGACGAGAAGGAGTTCACAGGGGGACAGAGTGGGGGGGCCTCGCAGAATCCCGGGGTGTTAGATGGACCTCAGAAGAAACCAGAGGGGCCGATACAGGCCATGATGGCTCAATCCCAAAGCCTAGGGAAGGGCCCTGGGCCCCGGACAGATGTGGGTGCTCCCTTTGGCCCCCAAGGGCATAGAGATGTGCCCTTCTCTCCGGATGAGATGGTTCCGCCTTCCATGAACTCCCAGTCTGGGCCCATGGGACCCGACCACCTGGACCACATGACCCCCGAGCAGATAGCTTGGCTGAAGCTGCAGCAGGAGTTCTATGAGGAAAAGAGGAGGAAGCAAGAGCACGCTGTTGTGCAGCAGTGCTCCCTCCAGGACATGATGGTCCATCAGCATGGGCCGCGGGGCGTGGGCCGAGGGCCGCCCCCTCCGTACCAGATGGCCCCTGGCGAGGGCTGGGGCCCGGGGGGTGCGGAGCCCTTTGCTGATGGGATCAGCATGCCCCATTCTCTGCCTCCGAGGGGCATGGCTCCCCACCCCAACATGCCGGCGAGCCAGATGCGCCTCCCTGGGTTTGCGGGAATGATAAACTCCGAAATAGAGGGGCCGAACGTCCCCAACCCGGCATCCCGACCGGGTCTGTCCGGAGTCAGTTGGCCAGATGACGTGCCAAAAATCGCGGACGGTCGAAACTTCCCGCCTGGCCAGGGTGTCTTCAGCGGTCCTGGCCGAGGGGAACGCTTCCCCAACCCCCAAGGATTGTCCGAAGAGATGTTTCAGCAGCAGCTGGCAGAGAAGCAGCTGGGTCTCCCCCCGGGGATGAGCATGGAAGGCATCCGGCCCGGCATGGACATGAATAGGATGGTCCCCGGCTCCCAGCGCCACATGGAGCCCGGGAGCAATCCCATTTTCCCTCGAATACCCGTCGAGGGCCCTCTGAGTCCCTCGAGGGGCGACTTCCCAAAAGGGATGCCCCCACAGATGGGCCCGGGTCGGGAACTCGAGTTTGGGATGGTTCCTGGCGGGATGAAGGGAGATGTCGGTCTAAACGTCAACATGGGCGCCAACCCTCAGATGATACCTCAGAAGATGAGAGAGGCCGGGGCGGGCCCTGAGGAGATGATGAAATTACGCCCAGGTGGCGCGGACATGCTGCCCGTTCAGCAGAAGATGATGCCCCTGCCATTTGGGGAGCACCCCCAGCAAGAGTACGGCGTGGGCCCCAGGCCCTTTCTTCCCATGTCTCAGGGTCCGGGCGGCACGAGCGGCTTGCGGAATCTCAGAGAACCAATCGGGCCCGACCAAAGGACTAACAGCCGGCTCAGTCACATGCCACCACTACCTCTGAACCCTCCCAGTAACCCCACTGGCCTCAACACGGCTCCACCAGTGCAGCGCGGCCTGGGCCGGAAGCCCTTGGATATATCTGTGGCGGGCAGCCAGGTACATTCCCCAGGCGTTAACCCTCTGAAGTCTCCCACGATGCGCCAGGTCCAGTCACCGATGCTGGGCTCGCCCTCGGGGAACCTCAAGTCCCCCCAGACCCCGTCGCAGCTGGCAGGCATGCTGGCGGGCCCAGCTGCTGCCGCTTCCATTAAGTCCCCCCCTGTCCTGGGGTCTGCTGCTGCTTCGCCTGTGCACCTCAAGTCTCCATCACTTCCTGCCCCGTCACCTGGATGGACCTCCTCTCCAAAACCTCCCCTTCAGAGTCCCGGGATCCCTCCAAACCATAAAGCACCCCTCACCATGGCCTCCCCAGCCATGCTGGGCAGTGTAGAGTCAGGTCAGTATGCTTGCGTCCTCACCATCGCACCTCGCAGCCAGAGATGGCAAAAGCCTGATTCATGTACTTTAAGGAAGCTGGTGTCCTAACATGATGATGCAGCCGGTGCTCAGGGAGACGTTTCTGAGCTCAGCACTCAGTGGGGGCCTTGGCTGAGACCCACGTGTTTGTGGCCGGGCGCATAATCGGTACTTCCACGGGGTTAGGCACGAGCGTCCCTTCCCGGCAGAGAAACACGGCTCTTAGTGCAGAACATGTGTGTCAGAAGGGACCGTTAGATGGAAGAGGGGAAGACGGGACATTACGTGTCCTTTTGCAGAGTAATTTACACTTGGATGGTGAACACGGTGGTGAAAGAAAATGCCTTAACGGTGGGTAAGTGTGGCTGCTTTAAACGCTAGACCCGCCCACTTGAAGGGGCTGCCCTAGCGTCCCCAGGCTCTGGGTATAATCCTAGACAGGAAGGGGAGGCTGCTGCGAGACCTGAGTGGTTCTTGTAAATACATGGTAGCCACAGAAGCCGTTACCCAGACCTCTCTGGTAGACTGCTGTTCTCACAGATCAGCTGCAATTTACCAGCATTTTCTTCCCAGGAGAAGCTCTCCCTGATGATGGTGGTTTTATGAGTGGGACCAGAGGTGGTCAGTGGAAGATGAGCACCGAGATGTAAATACTAGGTCCGTGTCGTCTCCACTTGAGAAACTCTGGACTCCGAATAAGAAAGCGTATACAACGCATTAAAGCGTTTCTCGCAGTTGGGTAGCGGGTCCCAAAAGCAGTGGAACGGCCCCCGCAGGACTTTTATATTCAGACCCCTTGGTTGTGGACATTAACCAAGAGCACGTGTAGGGTTGGTACCAGGGGTCGGATCGCAGACGAGATGCCGGAGTTGAATTTTGAGTTGTGACCGGCAAGGGAAAGACCTGCTTACTTCATGTTCATTTCAGTGAAATAGCAGTCTGTAAGCCCCGTTCTTCCCAGGCTTGAAGATCTGTTTCTGAGGCACTCTTGGTGCGTTTGTCCTCACATCTGCTGATGCGTCACCTCATTATTGTGCTGCAGTCTGCCCTCTGCTCACGCACAGATCTTGACCGGAAGATTGGTGATTCACGTCCTGGGTCTAATAACACTATCCTGTTCATTTGTCACATTCCTGGCCTTGCTAGTTCATAATCATAGGCCCGGTAGCCTTTGAGAGGAATTTCATTCCCTGCCCGGTTTTTGTTTTATTTTGCTTTCCTTCCAGGCGGCCCCCCACCTCCTACTGCCAGCCAGTCTGCCTCGGTGAATATCCCCGGAAGCCTCCCGTCTAGCACACCTTACACCGTGCCTGCGGAGCCGACCCTTTCCCAGAACCCGCTGTCTATTATGATGTCTCGGATGTCCAAGTTCGCGATGCCCAGCTCCACCCCTTTGTACCACGACGCCATCAAGACCGTGGCCAGCTCCGATGATGACTCGCCTCCGGCTCGCTCTCCCAACTTGCCATCAATGAATAACATGCCAGGTAAGCAGGCAGGAAGCTCGGGTACCGTGTGAGACCACGGTGAGACTTCTCGCTCGCTTTTCCGACAGCCGCGGACCTCAGCGGGTGGAAGTGGAACAGGCCGAGAAAGAAAACACTCAGTAGGGTGACAGTGCACTAGAGGAAGAGAGCCGTTTTGTTACTCGCTGGAGTCTGTCTGTGCTTATTAGAAAGCAGATTTTTGGATAGCTCGTGGAGTTTCCTTATAGAAGTTCTGATGGCATCTGTGTGCCTGGATGGATTCTTTTTTCCCCTTTTGGGGGGGGGGGGCTTGGAGCAGGGAGGGTCCTCCCGGAGCAAGACTGAAACCAGTTTCTTTTTAACATTCTGATTGTTAAAATGGTTTAACATTTTATTGGACAGCTTTAGTTTTCGATTGGACAGCTTGAGTTGTCAAGTGTTCTTCTGAAAGGGCAGCTCTGACCACAGGCGGCCACGGGATTTGAGACCGTGGAAAGCCCCTATTTCCTAGCAAGCACCAGCCTTACCATGCCAGTGGTAATTCCATAGAGAAACCAAATACTTCAGTGTCCCAGAGACTAGTAGAAACTGTGCGCTTTCCTTCTCTGTTAAAAGCTGTGTTTCTTTAACATTTCATACACCCTAGAGTTTAAAATGCTCTCTCCGTAAGGCAATCTAAAAAGATAATGCCGCATGTCAATTGGTAAAGGCCCGTTTGGTTTCCTTGTTATTATTTCTGATTCTTGGACCTGTAGGACGGATCAACCCTCTTTCTCCAAAGAGGACCATGCCTAAGTCACTTCAGACAAATTCTTCTGTACGAAGTGTCTCCAATGAAAAAGGCTAACTGGTTTGCATGTGACTTTGTGACTCTTCACACAGGAGACTTTCTTCCTAGTTGTTTTCTACATGCTCTCATGTCCTACAGTTTAAGGCTCAGAGTGTAACCTCTCGTAGAGCAGTTGGGTGTCTGTGCTCCAAAACGCATTTTGATCTTGTTGAGCAAGGCAGGGATTTTGCGACGAATGTTTTCCCAACAGAGCACCTTGTGCGATTGATGTTTTAGTTGTTGCTGATTGGATTTATTGTAGTTTTTCTGAGTTGCTCTCGGTTAAGGTGATTCCTTTGATATCTTTATTTTTCTAGGAATGGGCATTAATACACAGAATCCTCGAATTTCAGGTCCAAACCCCGTGGTTCCGATGCCAACCCTCAGCCCCATGGGAATGACCCAGCCGCTTTCTCACTCCAATCAGATGCCCTCTCCGAATGCCATGGGACCCAACATACCTCCTCATGGGGTCCCGATGGGGCCGGGCCTGATGTCACACAACCCTATCATGGGGCACGGGTCCCAGGAGCCTCCGATGGTACCTCAAGGACGGATGGGTTTCCCCCAGGGCTTCCCGCCAGTACAGTCTCCTCCGCAGCAGGCTCCGTTCCCTCACAACGGCCCCAGTGGGGGGCAGGGCGGCTTCCCAGGAACCATGGGTTTCCCAGGAGAAGGCCCCCTCGGCCGCCCCAGCACCCTGCCCCAGAGTTCAGCAGATGCAGCACTTTGCAAGCCTGGAGGCCCCGGGGGCCCTGACTCCTTCGCCGTCCTGGGGAACAGCATGCCTTCGGTGTTTACAGACCCAGACCTGCAGGAGGTCATCCGACCCGGGGCCACTGGGATCCCAGAGTTCGATCTGTCTCGCATTATTCCATCTGAGAAGCCTAGCCAGACGCTGCAATATTTCCCTCGAGGGGAAGTCCCAGGCCGGAAACAGCCCCAGGGCCCTGGGCCTGGGTTTTCGCACATGCAGGGGATGATGGGCGAACAGGCCCCCAGAATGGGACTGGCATTACCTGGCATGGGGGGGCCAGGGCCAGTGGGAACCCCGGACATCCCTCTTGGCACAGCTGCATCCATGCCAGGCCACAACCCAATGAGACCACCAGCCTTTCTCCAGCAAGGCATGATGGGACCTCACCATCGGATGATGTCACCAGCACAATCTACGATGCCCGGCCAGCCTACCCTGATGAGCACCCCGGCCGCTGCCGTGGGCATGATTCCCGGCAAGGATCGGGGGCCTGCTGGGCTCTACACCCACCCTGGGCCTGTGGGCTCCCCAGGCATGATGATGTCCATGCAGGGCATGATGGGACCCCAACAGAACATCATGATCCCCCCACAGATGCGACCCCGGGGCATGGCTGCTGACGTGGGCATGAGCGGATTTAGCCAAGGACCTGGCAACCCAGGAAACATGATGTTTTAAGCTGCTAAGATTGGATGTGCCGATCCTTGTCAAGATGAGATTCCGGGTCCTGAGAGCTGCCTTGGGGGGGTCCCAGGTGTACTGTTGGTCATGCAATAGGAGAACAGAGACCCCAAGGGCTGCTTTGGGGGAGGGGGGAAACTCGAGAATGTATGGATTTACCTGAAAACAAATGATTCATTTAATCAACAGGTGTGTTTTTTTTTAAGATTTATTTTTTAAAAATTATTTTTGTGGACTTGGGTATCCCGTGATGGCACCTACTTTTGGGAAATCTATAGCCTGTGCTTCGAGAATTGCCATCGGTCATGTGTTGCACCGTTCTCTGTATGTTTACGTCCTTTGGACTGGCTTCTCCCAGGATTCTTTTCTGGTTTTGTTTTTTTGTTGTTGTTGTTGTTTTGGTTTTTTGGTTTTTTTTGTTTTTTGTTTTTGTTTTGTTTTTTGCTTTGGGCTTTATTTTTTTGTGTACTGTACTATATTGTAAAAGGGATTTTAGCAGAGACTTTAGTCTTTGGGACGAGAGGAGAACAGGAATGCTGGGCTGTTTACTTTAGGTGGAGAATCCATCTTCAGACCTTTGGACTATTTTCTTTCAACTCCAGTGTATAGAAAAAAAAACCAAACTACGACCTCAGAGCAGAGTATTAATGAAAAGCACAAAAAAAAGGAACTAAGTTCAGCGAGGGGTGGGGGGAGGGGGGAGATTTTTTCTTTTCAAAAATAATGAAGCTTAGGATGTTTGTTTTTCGGTTCGAGTGCTCTCCGGCACTGTCTGTCTCTCCCAGTCTGCAAACCCACCTTCACATTTTTCTCTCAGTTTCTCTTCCCTTCCCCCACCCCCCATCTTCTTGGTTAAGTGTGTCTCTTTCTCCCATGGTCCCTGACTGGCGACCCCTGCTTTCCTCCTCTTTCCCTTTGGCAGCTGCAATACAAGGTGTTCTTTTGGGGAAGTAAATCTAACGAAGCCTCGCCTTCCAGGCTGAGGGTCGTCCCGAGGGAAAGGCCTGTGCTTGGGATGCTTGATGGTCTTCTGCTCCCTTTCTCTTCTTCCCCGACACGCCCTTCCCTGCCCACCTTGTTTTCTGTTCTCCTTTTATTAGGAATTCCCAAGTGAATTTCACCGATGTGGGAGTGGAACAGATGCTAAAAGCTATCCAGGATTTTGTTTTTGTTTTTGTTTTTAATTTTGTGGTTCTTTCACTCCCCTCCCCCTCCCATGCGTAAAACGTTCTGTGTAACCTCCATTAAATTTGGTACAAAACCACTCACCAGAGCTGTGGTGTCAGAAAAATAAAATATATTGTTTCTTACAAAATCAAATGGCCTTTTTTATTCATTTGAGTTCCTGTGTTGGTTGGTAGGGGGCGTGGTGGCTGCCACGTGGCCCAGAAGCATAGCCCACTTTGTATGGGAGTTGGCTGATGAGGAAGGTAAGCGAAGGCTCCAGAGCTGCCCGCCCAGGTGAAGCATCTTCCCTGCGGATGAGGATTAATGAGGAATAAATACCTGAGGATTTATCCTGCCTACTGGTTCTGTCCCAGTCCTGAAAGCCTGGCTATGGGCAGAAGAGCAGCGCCGTCCCCAGTGCTGAAATGCACCTCTAGACATCATGAATGGTCCTTTCCAGGAATTTCTGTGACAGCCAATTTAATGGTGTGAAGTAATTGAGGCTGAAGGTAGATTTTCATTCATCTGCATAAGCCATGAAATGTCCCTGGATCTTGCTAAGGTAAAACATTCCTACTGTCCCTGCAAACTGTGGGTTTCCACAATCGGTGGGTTTCTGCGGTCCCTTCTGTCTCCCTTCCTCACTGCCTGCTCATTGGGGTCCCCTGCCCCCCACCGGGGGCCCTGCTTCGTCTGCACTAGGTTCAACACTCCCCTCCCCCAACCACACACAGGCCCCCCGCGCACAGTGTGCATCCTACACGGTACATGTCTGAGGGGCTGGCTGTTGGCGCTTCTGTGCCTTTGGATTTGTTCTGTTGGGTGGATTTCTTTAGGTCCTAGGCTTTTTTTCAGCTGAGGGAGTGGGCGCCCGTGGGCGCGTTCCTTCATAGGTGAGAGAAGTGAGGCACTGCAGGTGCGGAGTCTGCAGACAAACTTGGACAAATTAGGCTCTGCTGGTGTCCTACAGTCGGGAGTTCTTCCTGCGACGCTTTCTCTCTCCACGAAGTGTGTGTGAGAGCCGTTTTCTCTCCCACCGTAGGCAGCCGCCCTGTCTTCTCAGTAACACTTGAGCCCCAGACAACAAAAGTGAGAGGACTGGCTCCGCACCTCCCCCACAGGCACCTCCACGTATGTTCTCGTGCAGGTCTTTGATGGGCCTACGAAGTAGGTGGTAATCATCTCCTTTGCGGATGAGAAAGCTGAGCTCAAGTTTAAGAATTCTGGCACAATCAAATCTATTCAGATGGTCCTGCGTGGTGAAAATTTTATGTTAGGAGAGGAAAATGAGGGTTTTGTTTCCTGAACTTAGCCATTTTCCTAGGTCCTCTGGCTTTGATGTATACAGAAGACAGCAGGGAAAGGGTGAAGCATGGGGAAGGGGAGAGGAGAGCGCCCTAAGGAAGGTTAGGACCTGGTGTTTGTCCACTGGACTGGCTTCTTGGGGAGTCCCACTCCCTGCTGCACCTAATGGGGTTGTGCCCACTGATCGTGCGTGGTCCTCTTGCTACTGTCCTTAGGAGAGACAGAGCTGGGTGGGCAAGAGCTGGGTGGCCCCTGCTGGGAGAGGCTGCTGGGAGAGGCTGGGGATTTGGCCCTGCTCGCGCCGCCCCCTGCTGGACACGCGCGGCAGTGCACATGCGCTGCCCACTTGCAGAGCCGCGGCGTTTTGAAAGGACCCCTTCATAAATCTTCATTCATTTACATTGTCAGCAGATACCAACACCATTTCATCACGATGATATCTGATAAGCTAAGTTCATCTGGGGTTTGAACAGAACAATTTCTAATTTACTAAGAATGCTGTGAAATAAAATCACATTTGAGAGACTGGATGCTGTTGCACAGAGAACCAATTTTTAAAAATTAGCAAAAGGTGGATAAAGATATTTCACATTAATATAATCCTCTGAAAGCCCAGCCAGTCTCCCTGCAGTTTCAGGACGGAATGGAGGAAGTGCAATAATGCTGTGTTACTTCATTCCGGGGGTAAGTGGTGGGGGTGTGTGTGGATCATAGCATTATTTCTTAAGGACTAACAGAGTGCAGTATTTTTTTCCCTAAAACAACGTGAAATAAGATAAACTTTCTTAAAAGGATCTGCACTTATAAATGAATATAAACAACTGTAGGGATCTTGTGAAGGGCGGGGCATGAGAAAATAGAAATTCTAAAACAAATTGACAGATTTTAAAGCTAGTCTTTAAAAAAAATTCATCCAAAATTTCTCCCAGCCCTCCCTCCTCCTCTCCCCCGCCGTCCCCAGGGCCAGGTTTCATGGGTGTGCGACCCATGCAGCTGCCCAGGGCTGGGGCTTGGTCTGCTGTCACTTTTTGACATTCTCAATAATCATTGGATAGGTGACCCCACGTTGCCAATCTGCAGTGGGCCCCACGGATTGTGAAGCGGGTCCCGGCTATTGTAAACTGGACAAATCACGGCAGTGCTATAGCGCCGCTGGGCTCTTGGCCTCAGTCCTTTCTCCTTCTCCCCGATGGCAGGGGTACCCCAGGCAGGGAGGTGCTTGTGTTCCGTTTAAATGGTCTACACTTTGGCCATTTCCTTTTCTGAGTCCTTTCAAAAGGCGGAGAGTTCAGGGAAGCTGTATGTAACACAAAGACTCATTGCCGTAGCAACCACCATCTAGAGAGCATGCGTCCAGACCGTGCTGGGGTTGGGACGGGGGAATAGGTGCGGAAATTGATCAGTACAGTATAACACGGTCATTACCGTGGTGAAGGTGCGGGGTGCAACAGGCCAGAGGGGAAGGTGATTTTTCCTGGGTGGAAGGTGGTGGTGGACCTTTAAACGGGCCTGCCTGTTGAAACCGGATGGGCACTAGAAAGTAGGTGGAGGTAAGAAAGGAGCAGAGGGAGAGAGGTCACAGAGAGCCCCATGGGCCCACTGAGGAGCCTGAACTTCGGCGTTTAAGCAAGGGACGCAGGTGATCAGCTTGGCCCTTCAGGAGGAGTGTGCTGTGGTGGGGGAGACAGGCCGGGGGTGGGGTGGGAGAACACAGGAAGGTCACTTGCAAAGACTTGCTTATTCTGCAAAATCCATAAGCTCACAGACTCATCTCTTTTGCTTTAAAAAAACAGTAGATTGAATTGTGTCTTCTTTGCTTGTTTAAAAAACGTGAGCCTTCCTGCCGCTTTTTTTTTTCCTCTAACCCAGACCAGCGTTGTTCTTCAAAGTCACAAACCCTTGTATTTAAGAAAAGTCATGGCAGCTCAATTTGGTGGTAAAATTCTAATGCTATATCTAAAGCAAACAGGTTTGCAAAGCAGAAGGACCAGTTTGTGGCCAAATATTTTATACCGGAGGGAGTTAAATAATAAACTAGGTTAAAAAGAAGATATGCTATGAGGATTGTAGAAATAAAAATTGTCTCTAACAGGGCTCTTTAGCTGGGTTCCTCCACTTGTTTTCTGCCTATAGGTGACTGCACTTGAACTGTTAACTTTCTGGCTCAGTGCTTAGCTGTGCTTGGCAACCACTACTGCTAGAGGAAGAAGGTGAGTATATAATCACAGACACGGTAGATAAAGAGAAGGTTCCGAAATGATTTCCTCACACGTATTAAAAGCATGGAAAACTTCTGGGGCTCCTGGGTGGCTTAGTCGGTTAAGCGTCCGACTTTCGCTTAGGTCATGATCTCGCGGTTCATGGGTTCGAGCCCCGCGTCGGGCTCTGTGCTGACTGCCAGCTCAGAGCCTGGAGCCTGTTTCAGAGTCTGTGTCTCCCTCTCTCTCTCTCACCCACCCTTGTTCACGCTGTCTATCTCTCTCTCTCCTAGAAATAAATAAAAATTTAAAAAAAAAAAAAAAAGCATGGAAAACTTCAGCCATTTCACCAAACACACCAGAACTCAACCATCCCTTGCAAAATACACCCTCAGAGCTCAAAGCAGTTATGAGAGACCCTGGGATTCCAAAGAACAGGTTGAAAATACTCCAGCCCTAGGAAAGTGCAGTTCTTTGCCATGGCGGGGATATGGGGACCGGACTGGGTTGACAGTCGGCCCTGGGTGGTTTGCTTCTTCATACCATACGGTGTGCCCACCCCTCTATGCGTAGCTCTTCCTTCCTCCAGCATCTGGAGCTAGACTTGAGGGCAGAAGGAACTTACAAATCTTAATGGTATCCAGTGTCTAATTAGTTAGTGTCCAGGATGGATTGAAATTTTCAAGATTTTTTTTTTTTTTGCCACAGCCCAAGTTCTTTCCGTTAAAGATTCCTTGGAGCCTGTGTTCGTTTCTCATCTTTACCAAGCTTCCAGGAGTTTTCATTTTCCCAGCTTCTCACACAGAAACCCTCTGTGAGCTTCTCTGCCTGGAGACCCGTGCCCCTCCCCACACAGCCATCGGATCGAAGGTGTACGCTCAGCTCTCAGCGGTGCTGTAAGAGCTCGGGAGTACGGGCCTCTGGTTGCTAGGTTCTCAGCACCAAGTGCATCCAAGCCGAACCCAGCACCTTGCTAGAGACTGAGTCATCCCCACTGTGTTCACACCAAATATATTTGGTTACAGGGAATCATGGATGACTGTGATTTCTTTCTTTCCCCGACGGCAAAAGGTCTCCCAGGCACTGGGGAAGTTCTTTATTCTGGCTGTCAGCAGTTGTGCTATTAACAATTTTTGCACACACAGATGTATTTATACAAGTGTACATGTACCTTTAATATACTAAGGTGTGTAAATAATTAAATGCCAGTTTGGAAATGTCAACACGCTGCCGTGACGATTAGTTTGTTTTTTCCTCGTCAGTGAAGCTGGAGAATCCCTCGAATTCTCTTCGTTCCCGTTGTTCTTCGTGCCTGCATGGCCTTTAGTAATACCAGTAAGGAAATACAAGGACCGGATCCATACAAAGTACCAGGAATGTCTTGGCCCCGGAAAGAAAGAATCTTCAGGGTCTGTGTAACAGATTCCATGGTCCCAGCAAGGACTGTTATAAGAAGGTCTTACCACCGCTTAATCACATGATATGAAGGTGGAGGAGTTGCTTACAAGGAACGTGCATACGACCCAATGAGATGATACATGCTGGCAATAGAGAATGACCATATTCTAGTCTCTGCATCACCATAGCCACATTCATATCACATCCTGAAATAGTTACTGAATTAGTCACTAAAGACTTATGACCCCCCTTCCTGCACGATTAATCTCTCCCCTGGCTTTCGATCATTCCAATCAGCATACAAACAGGCTCTACATTTGGTCCTAGGTTTCTGCTTACTCTCCTAATTCATCCAGTCACCATCTGTACGCTAGAATTTCTATCTCCCTCTCTGCCTATTCGTAGGCTTTGTAGACTATCAGATCAACTGGCTCCTGGACACTGCCTTGTGGGTGTCGTGCAGGCGCTTCAAACTTAACAAGTCCCACACTTAACTTCTGAATTTCCCCCACGTCTAATCTCCATAAATGATATAGGTCCATCGACTCAGTTCTCAGGTTGAACGCGCAGGGAGTCATTCTTAATTCTTTCCTCCTCACGTGAAGCCATCAGCAAATCCTTTTATGTCTATTTCCCAAAACATATCTTAAATCCATTTACTTCTCTCCATTCCAGTTCAAGTTACCGTCTTTGACTTGGTCTATTACATTCATTTCTTTTTTTTTTTTTTTTTCTTAAGCTCTTATTTATTTATTCATTTAAGTAATCTCTACACCCACCATGGGGCTCAGACTCACAACCCTGAGATCAAGAGTTGCCTGCTCTTCCAACTGAGCCAGCCAGGTGACCTACATTCATTTCTTTTTTTTCTTCTTTTTTAAAATTTTATTTTCTAAATACAATTCCATTGTATATATAAACCACATCTTTATCCATTCATAGTTGATGGACATTTAGGCTCTTTCCATGATTTGGCTATTGTTGAAAGCACTCCTATAAACATTGGGGTGCATGTGCCCCTGTGAATCAGCATCCCTGTATCCTTTGAATAAATTCCTAGTAGTGCTATTGCTGGGTTGTAGAGTAGTTCTATTTTTAATTTTCTGAAGAACACTGTTTTCCAGAATGGCTGCACCAGTTTGCATTCCCACCAACAGTGCAAGAGGGTTCTCATTTCTCTACATCCTCACCAGCATCTGTTGTTTCCTAAGTTGTTAATTTTAGCCACTCTGACCGCTGTGAGGTGGTATCTCAACCTACATTCATTTCTTAACTTCTGCTTCCAGACTTACTCTTTAGTCTACTCTCCACATAGTAGCCAGAACAATCTTAAAAAGTATAGCCCATGTACATCAATTCCTTCCTTAAAACTCTTTAATGGCTTCCCAATGCAATTCATATAAAATCTAAGGTCTTTCACATGGCCCACCAGGACCCAGGAACCTCTCCAGTTTCACCTCATGTCCTTCTACCCTTATCACTATGCTCCAGCCAAACCACTCTAAGCCCAGTATCTCCAGTGTGCCAGGACTCACACACACTGGTTCCTTGGACTAGCACGCTCTTGACTCCAGCCACTCCCATTGGCTGATGCCTTCACATCCATAGGTCCCAGCTGATTTGTTACCTCCTCAGAAAAGCCCTTTCTGATCACCCATCAAAATACCTGCCCATCCCCACCACACACACACCATTTTGTACCACAACATCCCGTTTGTGTCCCTTATAGCAATTGTTCATTCTATTTCACCCACTCCATGAAGTCAAGAACTGAACTTTTCTGGCTTATCACTTATGCATCAGCATCTAGCATGGTGCCTACATTCTAAGAGGGACCAGTAAATATCTGCTCTATTTATGAGAGAAACGAAGGGTCCGTGTGAGTTTGGGTGGCCAAGGAAAGGCATCATGGTGGTTGTGGTACTTGAGGTGGTCCGTATAATAAAGCTGGGGGTGGGGACAACACACATGAGGGAATGGAAGAGGGAGTGAACAGGGGGAGACGATCAGACCACTTGACATTGAAGGGAACAGCGTCACCAAAACAGTCATTTCGGTAATGGAATGAAATTGAGAAGAGAGGGAAAGAAGAATGGCTCCAAAAGCCAAGAAAAGGAATCTCATCTTGCTACGGGAAGCAGTAGAAACCACTCTCTGGTCTAGATCAGGGGAAGTACACGATTACTGTATAAAATGGGTCCGGCAGGGACGCAAGTCCTCCAGGGTTGGGGACGTGAGGCTGCTGGTGATGGAGAAGTGAAAGGTGGAGCCAAGAAAGCTGTGAGGGAAGAACCCCCAAGAGTTCGTCAGATACTGGGGAACGAGGAGGGAGGAATCAAACAAGACACCAAGATTTTGAGACCAAGAAACTGAAAAGAAGGCATCAGGGTGTTGGAAAGGACCGACCTCCTACTCTGCAGTATCCCTGGCGGGTGGACATCCTGTAACAGGAGGCCATGCTGTTGAATGTCATCAGTTCTAATATTTAGAAAATTCTGCACACAGGGGCGCCTAGGGGGCTCTGTAGGTTAAGCGTCCGACGTCAGCTCAGGTCATGATCTCACAGTTTGTGAGTTCGAGCCCCGCATCGGGCTCTGTGCTGACAGTGCAGAGCCTGCTTCAGATCTGTCCCCTTCTCTCTCTGCCCCTTCCCTGCTCATTCTCTCTCTCTCTGTCTCTGTCTCTCTCTCTCTCTCTCTCTCAAAAGTATAAATAAACATTAAAAAAAGAAAGAAAATTCTGGACACAATGAGTCAGGCTTCCTTTAGCTCTTTAGCCATTCTGATTTTGCCCCTAGGAGTAAATACAGAATGAGGACAGTCCTTACCTCACATGCCAGCCTTCCAGATATTTGAAAACAGTTATTAGGTCCCTCCTAATTTTCTTCAAGACCCATGAGGTCTGGTTTTGAGTTCCCTAATAGCTCCCATGGTTTTATTCTGTTTTGTTAGTTTATAAACCTTTTAAAAGTACGCTCCTAAGAACTTACGATGGTAGTATTTGGTGCCCTAGTAATGTCTGTTCAACACAGAGCACAGTGAGACGGTTGCCTCCTTGAACCTATACTAAGTTCCTCTCACCAGTGAAAGTTCACCTCCCTCCCTTACTATGGGGTTACTTTGGAATTTTAGGGAATGAAAATCCCAACATCTTTTTCACGTAAAATAAACCATTGTCCCTAATTCCATGTATTTTTTGCTTCTTTTTTTTAACCCTGAATTCAAGATTTTGCAGTTATTCCTCTTTAATTTCAATACTAATCCTGATCTATTATTCTAGAATCTTCAAGTCCTTAGAACCCTGTTCCAAAATCCTTGGCATTGCTTCTCTCTGATTTTTGTATCAAAAGCAAAGATGTTAAGATTTTCATCCAAGTGATGAAAGGGTCCAGAATAAAGTCCTGAAGCTCACAATTAAAGCTGCATTAAAAAAAAATTTTTTTAACACTTATTATTGAGAGACAGAGAGGGACAGAGCATGAGCAGGGGAGGGGTAGAGACAGGGGAGACAAAGAATCCAAAGCAGGCTCCAGGCTCTGAGCTGTCAGCGCAGAGCCTAACGTGGGGCTCAAACTCACAAACCGCGAGATCATGACCTGAGCCAAAGTCAGACGCTTAACCGACTGAGCCACCCAGGCGCCCCTAAAGCTACATTTTTAAAAACCCATTTGTTTTTATT